TGTTTTTCATTTTCTACTATTCCATACATGCAAACTGACAGATGAATATATTTTCATTATCAGAGATAAGTGGCATATGTGTACTATCAATAGATATTGATTGTCAGATCACAAGCTCAAGTATTTCTGGGTTTTTTTTAACATTATTAAAAATAAAAAGTGTTCACTTAAATATGACTTGTAATATTTATTGATCAATTTGTATCTCTTACATGATTTTTAATGTAAAAACATTAAAAGTGTAAAATAGTAAATTTTATGAAATGGCGACGCTAAAAATCAGCTGCTGGTTTGTTTACGTATACACTCTACATCTAATTTCTCTGCCGAATAATTTAACTTATATATTCATTTACTCAGCAAGGAACCTTGCCAAATTTATTTGTCTACTTGATATAAATTCTTGTACACTGTCTTATCCAATACCTTACTGATGTCCCTAATAAAATAAAGGGATACAGACAAGGAGTCTACATCAAAATGCATTTTTTATACAGATTTCCTAACACATAGAAACAGAATACCTGATATATCATACCTGAATGTATTTGAAATGAAAATACATAGTTCTTTGAAGTTTTGTTAGCATTGCTTTGAAATTCTTGAAGACTGTAATATAGTCCATTTTAAGATGGTTCATCCTTTTATAGTGATATAGCAACTATATGTGGAAACTAAAAATAAGAAAGTAGTAATTATATAGAATTATAATAAAATATGGCAAAATAATACATTCAATAATTATAAAAAAAAATAATCATTATTATTACATTATATATATAAAAAAATTGACTCAGATCACTCTACTTCCTATTCAGATTTGTTAACTTAATTAACCTTATCACTACAGAATTGGTTCAAATGCAAGTGTAATCTAAATATACATTTACTTTACTAAAAAACTTGAATTCAGAACAGACTTGGTCAAGCACGACAGGAGCCCGGAGGCGCGGCAGCCCCCCATGCCATGATAAAGGCGCAGGCATCATGTGCCCCATAGTGACTGATGCTGGTTGCTACTGGAGGTGTCCGAATGTGCAAAGGTGAGCATGATTGCCTGTGACTTTGAAACACAAAGGCAGAAGTTATGTTTCTTACTTCCCTACTCTTCGTTCACTGAAAAATATGGACAGAAAAGTAAGGTAACAATTTAAGATAAAAAATGGAAACTTCGATGGAATCTACACTCGCTACAATCTGCTCTCTCCCGCTGTATGCCAAAGAGAAAATTTGTAGAAAATTACCACTTTGGTAAATGTAAATAACTTTAACTCCGGCGTAATTCAATTAAAATAAATTTTAAACGTTAGAGATAAATCTCTAATGAATTAATCAACAAGCAGAATTCGGCGGTCGCTTATAGTTTTCGAGAAAAAAAATATTTAAAACTTGTTTTTGTACTAAGAAATCCACCATTTTATTTGTTTGACTTCAAAAACTCAATACACAGTTCTGCCAACATGATAAATATTATAATATTAATTTAATGAATCACAGAACCGACACAGAGTGAATCCGACTCGGATAGATTAGGTTAGAAGACTCAACTCCGAAAAATGCCAAAAATATGCCATCTTATTATATCGTTGGAGACAGTACAGAATAATTAATGAAATAGACATTCTTCGGCTTGAGGCATTTAACATTTCTAGAACAGTTCTAGAATTCTTCTTACTCTCTTCTCTATTCTTAATGACCCTGCTTTTCCTAACTACTTAAAAGAAAAATTCCAATATCTCTCATTAACTCACGATAAAGCACACACTCAAAGTGCCAGATAGGCTCGTACACACTATCCGGGCCTTCCTGTCGAACCGCTCTTTTCGATATCAAATTGAAAGCACCCTCTCCACAAGCCGCCGCCTCACGGCCGGCGTACCACAAGGCTCCTGCCTCTCACCTTTGCTCTTTACGCTCTACACGAGCGATATACCTAAAGACCCCCACGTCAATCTCGCGCTTTTCGCGGATGACACGGCGCTCTTTTATTCAGACCGCAACCTTAGACAACTAACCACTAGACTCCAAAGCGCTGTCGACCGCCTCGGCGATTGGTTCCGCAAATGGAGAATAGAAATAAATCCCGAAAAGATTGTGGCGATTCACTTCACACGAAGTACTTACCCATCACATCTTTATAATGGCCCTCGTCAATGCAGAAAGTTGGGGCAAATATCCCTTTATGGCCAACTGCTCCCCTGAGAGAAAAAGGTCAAATACTTAGGAGTCACTTTCGACTCGCGTATGTCATTTACTACGCACATTAATAACGTTCGCAATAGAGCCGCGTTCGTCTCCGGCCGGCTACACAATTTAACTAACGCTAAAAGTAAAATGCCCTTAAGGCACCAATTATTATTATATAAAACCTGCGTACGACCTATTATGTCTTACGCATGCATGACCTTCGCCCACACGCACCCTACTCGCTTGTACAAGTTGCAAATAGTACAAAATAAGTTCATCCGCCGCGCAACCGGAGCGCAGTGGTATTAACGCAACGTCTACCTGCACAGCGATTGCAGACTCCCGACGATTCCCGAATATTTTAAAGACCTGACCAAACGGTTCTTCGATAGAGCCGAACATCATCCCAACCCTCTGGTGATAAGCGCAGCAAATTACCAACCCGACACAAACGCGAACGTCAACGAGCGTCGCCCCCAAAACGTCCTAATCGACCCGGTCGAGGAAGGGGACTTAGATACGCCGGACCCACCGCCGGCGGTCCCGCCGGACAACACTACACCTACAGTTATTGCAACAACAAACACACTAGTTCGCCCTCGCCTCCGAGCACGGCGAGACCAACACAACGCGTACACAAGGTACACCCGCGTTCCGGGGCCGTTCTCACCGCCCCCAGCCACCGATAAGCTAATTGGACAGTCGACGGCCATAGGGGTTTCGGTCCGAACCGCGACCTCGATGGCCCTTAGATGACACACCATAGTTAAACGCACGCATGAGCACATGCGGCCACAGCGGAGGGCCCAAACCCGTGGGTTCTGACTAGCCCACCGGTTCTGCGTCAGATGAAGCTTTAATAGTCTCGGGACTGAAAGTAAAAACATCAGTTAATACAAATACAAATACGATAAAGCAATTCGTTCATTATATCATTTAAGAAATTGCTGCTATGTCACTATACCAATTTTGCCGATTGTTAGAGTCACCAACTTTATCCTTCCTTTTTATGTAAGTCTCTGTATATATATTATTACATATGTCTAAGTATAAATATATAATCTTACCTATATAATTATATCCTTGTTTATTTTATATAATGTTTATGTATTGGAATTTAAATGTAAAGTATTTATGTTTGTGTAAAGTATATTTCTATAAAATGTACCTTTGTTTTTTTTTATTTATTTTTCTTTAATTTATTTGTTTGTTTTGCACCTGCGTCAAACTTTCTCTACTCCCAGGGTTGACTGGAAGAGAATGCTTATTAGCATTAAGTTTGCCTTTTGTGTAGCTAAGTTGAAGTGTAAACAATACATTTTTAAATAAAATAAATAAATAAATAACATCTTCTTGTTGGTCGCTCCCTCACTGCTGAGGATCGTGATCGTGACTCATTTTCAATTGATCAATGAGCTGTCTCCAATGGTTTCGCTCTGTCGTCTGGCGTTTTCAGAAATTTGATCCACCCACCTTTAGGATTACGGCCTTTAGGTCCCTCTATTTTCCCCAATTGACATAGGCAAACTTAAAAGAGTATTTTCAAAGTTTGAAATATTTAAAAAGTAAAATAAAATTGTTAAAAAAAACCTTATTGCTGATTTGATACGGTTCATAATGATAAGACTCATCTACATTAAAATACAATAATCGGGAAATCCCCGGACTATATAACGTGGGATGAAAGTTTTTTTTTATTTTTTTACTTATTTATACTTTATTGCAACCTGTAAATAAAAAGGATTACAAAGGGCAAATTTAATGCCTTTTGGCATTCTTTCCAGTCAACCCGGGGCGTGGTGCGAAATCGTGGTAGGTGCAATTATTACATTAAAATATTTATAAGTATTACTATATAATTACTTATAAAGTTGACACTTCAGAAAATAATTTGCAACCAAATATTAATGAAAGTAAATAATAAGACATAGAATATTATAAGCATTCTTAATATTAATATTAATTTATATGTACAAATGTATTTCAAAAATAATAAAGATTTTCTTGAAATCTGCCAGTTTTTTTTGAATCGTCAGCCTAATGTGCCATATCTAAAATTTAAAAATTTATTTGCGATAAATATTTGAAGTCGTATCAAAAACAATATTACTTGTTTCGTATCAATATCTGGAATCCATCTTGAGTCAAGCACTTGTCTTCCGGCCTATTATTATTTACACCTCTCCGACAATGGCGTCCCTCTACATCCTACAGAACAAGCTTATCTATCCTATAGAACTAGCAGCGAGTGACCACTTGTCAATAAAATGTCGTTCTTCGCGCCCTTCAGAAGTTTCATAATACTTATTATAATACTAAAATAAGTATCAAATATCACTATACAGCGATAAAATTATCGATGATTGTATGAAAAAATATCTATATTTTTCTATATCGATATTTTTACATGCCTAGTGAGAATGTTGAGATTGACTTGACAGTTGACATTATGAAAGTGTCAAAAAGTTGCATATTTTAAGTTGTTCTTATTTTATTTTATTGTGAACATAATTATTCGAATCATGTCGAAACTCCGGCATATCTTAAAAATATCTTACTGTCGGTACTACAGCGTACAGCAAGCTCGAAAAAAACTTCCAATCATATCATGTAAGCGGCCCGAGTTCAATCACTTTGAGGGCCAGACTTATAGTAAGTTTGAGGACTTAAAACTTGCGTCTAAGGGTTGGTTAAATAATAAATCTAAGGGGGATCATTTCACTATCTATTATAAAGCCAACGGAAAGGAAGAGAAAGTGGTATATAAAAAAAGTTTTGAAGAAATTGGCTTATGCAATGAACTAAGAGAGGTTATGGCTGATAAAGGCTTTGAATTACCTACTGCGATTCAAGCAAAAGCTATTCCTGTGATTCTTGGAGGTTATAACACACTTGTCACTGCAGAAACGGGATGTGGAAAAACATTAGCCTATTTGTTACCAATTTTTCAACATGTCCTGGAATGGAAACCACATTTGAAGGAAGAGTTTAACAGTCCTTTGGCTGTTGTTATAACGCCTAGTAGAGAACTTGGTAAGTTTATGAAATGGGTATATTTTAGGAAACTATTTTTATTTTGTTATGTTAAAGAAGTATAACTTCTTACATGCCTACATACACACACATTTTTTTACTTTGTTGGAGAATATTGCTGTAGGTAATTTAGAAAACATGAATTGCTAAACATTCTAGTTAACAAACATACATCATCAACAATTTCTAATATTTGGAGCAAAACATTCAAGCATTATCAAAGTTTTGGTCAGATTGACACATTTGAAACAGATGATTAAAAAAAATCAATTATTCAGCAATCAATGTTTTTTCTATAAGTTGTGCCCTTGTCTTTACTTTATGAAATAATCTAGGTGAAATTTCATTCGGAATACATTTATGTTGAATATATATAGACTTATCCATATTGTTGTTCTTAGGGTTGTAACTATTTGGAACCCATCATCACTTTTGATTCCTTCCTTTAACAATGATTGCACCCACACCATAGTCCTTTTGTGTTTCATGAGTGAAGTTAATAAATCTTAAAACTTGCTCAAAAGTAACTTGTTGTAATGAACCTCAAATTCAAGGCTTCCCTGCTTCCAATAATCTTGTATTGTGGCTTGTATTGCTCCAGTAATGTGGCTTTATCTATTATAAATTTAAAAATTCCTCTTTGTTCCTTAGCCAATGTTTACTTGTTTACCTCTTTAATTTTAATCAATCATGGATGCAAGTTCCATGTCATCAATCATATGTCCCAAAAAATTATCTGATTTGACACACATGTTTGTTCAGATTTAGTCTGATTTCCATGGAATCAAATTTGAGGCTCCAGTAATGTGGCTTTATCTATTATAAATTTAAAAATTCCTATTTGTTCCTTGGGCAATGTTGTCTTGTTTACCTCTTTAATTTTAATCAATGATGGATGCAAGTTCCATGGCATTAATCAAATGTCCCAAAAAATTATCAAAACAAATGTTTGTTCAGATTTAGTCTGAATCCCATGGAATCAAATTTACAGAAGCTTGTCCATAGTATTCGATTGTGCTTGTCCTTATTCCTTCAGGTAATAGCCAAATATTAAAAACACTGAAATATTCAGGATGCTGCATTTACTCCAATAATTAAGTGCCAACAGCATAGCAGTATACATTACGCTCTTGACAATATATAGCTTGTCGTTACCACCGCAACAATAATTGGACACACTTATAGAGGATAACTTTTTAAAATTGTACTAAACATTTTCTGAATCTGGCCCCTCTGCTGTGGCTTTGTTTTCGTTTTTGTTGGATATTAAAAAAAGGTACATACCTACGTAAAATTATTTTCTTCAATAGCATTGTTGTGAAAAAATATATTTAATTTTGTGCACACAAACATATGTAAGGCATATTTTTTTAATCTAAACATGAGTTGTAGATGTTTGTTTTTTTTTAAATGTGAAGGCAGTTTTTGCATGCCTAATTCAATGTTGAATTTTATTTGTGGTGTATGTATAGGGTTTGTCATTCAAACTTTGGAAAGTTTCAAATGCAATATGAGTTATTACTACCAAAAGAATCTTTTGATGCTCAATTATATTATTAATTACAATATTGACTACTATTTTAAACAAAAATGCATTATTTTTGCAGCTATCCAAATAGGTCAAGTTGCTCAGAGCATAGCTCAAAACATTAATATCAACGTAACAACACTGGTAGGTGGGAAAACAAAGCGGAAGATGCTAGATCCCCCTGTAGAATACAGTGACATTCTTGTCACCACTCTTGGTGCATATAGCAAACTTGTAACAACAGGCATTTTCAAGATACATAATGTGCATCATATGGTATTAGATGAAGCAGACACATTATTGGATGACAGTTTTATAGGAAAACTTTCAAACTTATTGAAGAAGTTTTCAGTAAGTACTATTATTAAAAGTGATTTTTTATAATAATGTTTGTTTCAAGTTTGTTTAAACAATAAAAATATGCTTATATATGTGGTTAATTGTAGCCGTGATATGACAGTGCCGACTTATCATGTGCACAGTGGTGCAGGTGAGGAAACATGCATATTTTCGAAATAATAACAAAAAAATGTTTCAAATATATGTGAAGTCCGCCAATCCGCAGTGGGGCCGCGTGGTGGACTGCACCTTAAAACCCTCTGTTCAGAGGAGGCCTTTGAAGGCAGTGCGACATATACAGGCTGTTGGTTTACTTTAAAATATGATGAGACAATGTTGATTCATCTCTTTCTCTTTTCTTTCAGATTCATTATAAGGTTCAAATCCAAACACCTCCAGTTGGTTGCCAGCTGACGCTTGTTAGTGCCACCATGCCGCATGAAATGCCGGAAGCTGTCAGCTCTTTTGTTGACCCAGAGTCTGTGCGAACGGTTCAGACCTCCAACATTCATATGATGCTTCCACATGTACCCCAAAAGTAGGTATACTACTGGGTAGACTGATTCGCCGTTGCATAAATAATGATACGATAATTGTGATTAGGTAACGGCCGGTCTCTATATTCTATCTAATGCAGGTAGATTTGGTTACTGGAGAATTTTGCCTTAAGTATTATGGAGCTAATTTCAAGTACCTATAGCTAGAAACCGGCCGAAAGAAAAGTTGTAAATTCTTTAGAATTATTGACATTATATAATGAAAATTTTTAATTGTGATAAGGCCACGCAACTGCTTCGGCTGTTGAGCCAATGGGCAGGCCCGTCTGCTTACTTGAGCGTTTTGCAGAAGTTTTGAAGTGGAAATGTAATGTATCTGTTTTGTCTGGTGAGTGAGGTAGCCGACGTCCACTTTTCTAAAGGTGGCAACGCATATGGCAGCCGTACGGGTGTTGCAAATGTCCATGGGCGGTGGTTGTCACTTAGTATCAGGTGAGCTGCCAGCTCGCTTGCCACATACATAAAATGTCTGACTGTACATGTATTTTAATAAATCCTTGTCTTCAGGTTTATTCGTCTGGGCAAAGCGCAAAAACCGATGGAACTGTTGAAGTTGGTGCTGGCGGACGTCAACCAGAAGCGACCGGTGATGATCTTCTCCAACAAAACACCAACCTGCGACTTCGTCTCGATGTTCCTGAACGAGAACAACGTCGAGTGCATCAACATAAACGGCCAGATGGCCGTCGACTTGAAGATTGGGAAATTCGAATTGTTCAACAGCGGTTCGGTGAACGTCCTGTCCTGCACCGACATTGCGTCCCGTGGATTGGACACTATAGGGGTATGTAGTTGATTCAACTTAATTGCAAACATTTGCACCAAGAGCTGTGATATTAGAAAACAAGGCTCAACCGAATCATATATTGACAGGTGCGACACGTGATCAACTACGACTTCCCGCTGTACACAGCCGACTACATCCACCGCTGCGGCAGGACCGGCCGCATGGGCTCGCCGCCCGGCTGCTCCGTCACCAGCATGGTGGCGTGGCCGCGCGAGGTGCAACTGGTGCAGAAGATGGAGACGGCCGTGAGGATGGGCGCAGCCCTGCCCAGCGTCAACGCCAACATCCGCCGCCAGATCCAGGACAGGATCACCAGGATGACGGCCGCCGCCATTTGAGCGGTCCACCCGCCCAACCTTGAGGTTCGAGTAGGTGGAGAGGAGGCGGTCAGTGCAGAGAGCGATAATGTGTAAAGTGTTAATGTGTATGTCCAGTGTGAAAATTTTAAAGATAGGAGGTGATTTATATGTTGTATTCAAAAGCCCATCTAAAACTATGGACCGGGCAACTGTTCAGTAATCGAGAAGTAGCTCATGTTCAATTAGAATTTACTAAAGCCGGACTCAATTGTATTGGCTCCTAGACTACATGTGCTATGTAAAGTACTGTTTGAGATTGCGATAAATTACAGGGTCGAAAAGAAGAGTTTGTCTTTTCGAATCCTAGATATTATATACAAATACGAGTTAGATGACACTAGAGCGCTGAAACTAAGGCAGTCAAATTGCGCTAATTGGTGTAATTAGATTGCAATTCTACTGCTATTTCTTTCTGTATCATAATTATGTTCTGCATCATCTGTCACATTGACTTATATGTGTCATATTGGATATTGGATGGATTGATGGATATTATACGTCATTTTTATTAAAATATCATTGTTTCGAACCAGTTATTTACTTAGCATAATAATTACAATCTTATTTTCTTTGTTCTAGGTAATTGCTATAATTATGTAAATTTGTTTAGATATTCTACATATAAAAATATACATATTTAACATTCATAAAATCATCCCCTTCATCATTTCATTATAAAAGTTAGGCAAAAATAAACAACCAGAAGTGTTCATTGGCGTATTCATTGAAAACCGCAAAAAAAGAAAAGAAGAAGAAGAACCAGTTATTTATCGCACTCCCAAACAGTACTCCTGTTGTGGTTGACCAGAAAAATTTGTTTATGACACCACCAATGGCTTCTGTTGTTATCCATATGTTTGGTTTCTTTGGTTGATTATTAAAATCTCATTGTGACTTATTTATTTTAATTGAATTATACAACATTACAACAAAATAAATATAAAATTTTATAATAACTTATAATGAACTAAGATTGTTAGTTTTATCTAGCTTGAAAGATGGTAATTATTCACTGAAAAGATTAATTTAATCTAAAGGTGTTTGACCCAAAGTTACTTGTGTTGTTGTTTTTTGTTCGTATAATACTATGGTGGTGTTGCCAATATGGAAGTGCCTTGTTACAAGATAGATTCATGCAATCTGAACTCCCTGCAAAAAGTCCAAAAATAAGCAGTGCAGTCAAATATGTTCGTTTTTAAACGGTACTTGTAAAATTCAAACTACATTTAAAAGAGTATTGCAATTTGTAGTAAGTAATGTTATTTGAGTCCACTGCTGAACATAGGCCTCCCCCATAGACTGCCATGAAGTACGATCCTGAGCCACCTGCATCCATCAACTTCCCGCACATTTGCACAAGTTGTCACTCCATCTAGTAGGGGGTCATCCTACACTGTGATGACCAGTAGGAGGAGGCTGCCACCTGAGGCCTATGTTCAGCAGTGGAATCAAAGAGGCTGAAATGATGATGATGATGAATGTTATTTATAGACAAGGAAGATTAATTAGTTTTGCTGTTGTATATTTGTCAATAAACGATAAAATAACAAATTTGTTAATTTATTTTCATTAAAAAAAGCAGTGTTATTCATACTATAGTTATGCATGATTAGCTATGTATACGGGGTATTTTTTTAGACGAAGTATATACTTTGACCTACTGTTAATTGAGAATTCCATAATTCAAAAAAAATATTTTTTTTATTTTGACAAGAAGTAACCAGAAAAATATCAATTCAAACATTGTTTGTTTATCCCGTTATGAGTGGTCACCCTAAAATCTACAATCTGTAGGTATAAATACTAAAATAATATTATAAATACTAAATTTATAACACACCTTAAGGTTGACTGGTAGAAAGTGCTGACAGCATTAAGTCCGCCTATGTACAGAGTTATGTGCATGAAGTCTTAAAATAAAATAAATAAAAAAATAAATTAAGGCCACTGAAACGAGATAATTTCAGACATTGAACTCACATTGACACAAATGCGAAAGAAATCAAATAGATTACAACAACGGCACAGTGAGATCAGGCTAGGTTATTGTATTATGACGGTAAGGCAGGAATTTCAAAGATTATTTTTAATTTTTTCAAACACTGAACACCCATGTTTGAAAAAATTAAAAATAATCTGAAAAAAAAAAATGAGGTCACAAGTACGTACCAGATTCAGATTTAGAATCATTCTGCATATGCCCTGTTAATATTTCCGTCGTCATTATATACGTACTAATGAATGTTACTGGGTTGGCAAGTGAGCAGGTGGTTCACGTGCCGTTTATTGATTACCGACGTCCATGAACATCTACAACATTAGACGCAGGTGAATGCTAATCATTAAAGGTACTTTTAATGCTTTTAATGCTCATTTATGCCGGCTAATTTAATTGAGATTTTTTTCCACCGGCAGTGGCGGATTTGCCCTAAGGCCCGGGCCACGGGCGGCCACACACCAGGGGCGGCCAATCAGTTTTATGATTGATATGATTTATAATGTATATTTTTGCCTCAGAACCTTAATTGTAAGTTATTTCGTCGAGAAAAAGTTTTGAAAACAATGAGTCAATAAGATGTAAGATAAATATTATGTTGACATTAAGATGTAAACAACATAACATACTGTAAGATACGAAATTATAAGTGTGAAAGTTTCACGAACTCAAGGGGGTATATTTTTATGTTATATGTTATATTTTTATGTTATAATAGTTTTAGTTTTTCTTTTTTATTCATTTGCACCGTTTCATACGCGCGTGCAAGTATGTGCGTCCGCTGTACTGTTACTTCCAGTATATATGTCTTATCTATGGTTACTTCTGTTGGTGGAAACTGAGGCTGTTAGTGACATATTTGCCATCTATAGTGACAAATATTTATTGTATACTTGCAATTTCACGACATAATTCTTTATTATTCTTTACTTACATATAATTTAAACATTTAAAATGGACAGAATAGGGTAATAAATCACAGCTTATTTGATATATTTAATCGTAAATATACACATTTTACAATGTATATGATAGTTCATCTATATTAAGAATTATTATTATTTATCAATATTGAACACTAATTATCGATCGATTTAATCTATGAATAATACAATACGCTAAATACGCATATTGTATTATTCATAGATTAAATATATCTAAATATACTCTCAACGAAAATAGTTCTTCGAAATACTGCTAATTCCTAACATTAAACAAATGTATAACTATTAATATTGCTTTTAAATGTTTATAAGACATTGTATAATATACCCCATTTTGATATGGTTCTTATGACAGATTATAGTGGTGTAGCTTAAATTCTTAAATGTATATTCTGAATAAAAAGAAAATAATTATTATTTTACGCTGTATACAAAATAAAACTTTTAAGTACAAATTACTACTACCGACATTACTATTTTTATTATTATATATTACTGTATAAAAATAAGTGTTGGAGTTAAACAGTACGTAAGTGAAAATAAATGCAACGTTAAAAAAATAACGATCGTTTGAAAAGCAATAATTATAAAAAATCTTCTAAAATCTGTTTTGATGTTTTGATGGATCAATCAGCCAAATATTGGAGCATGTATCGCAATTAATATATTTTTAGTAAGTGACCAAATTAGCATGTTTAATACAAAATTAAAAGAAGAAAACAACATTTCTTTTCTAATCATAATGAAATACAAAATAAAACATCGAAAACTACTTGTACGAAATGTCTACAAATACTGGTTCCTGGTAAAATGTAGGTAAGTATTCATTTTTATTTTCAATTTATTTATGGGATAAAAAAATAGCGTGAATACGTATACATATTCTATTCACTTTAGTATGCTATTTAATTACCCTTGTTAGTTTTATGTGTAATTATAGAATAATAATACTAAACATCAATATTCGTTAAAGTTGTTGATTGTTTTTGAAATTCATAATGTGTGTTCTCCTTCAGAAGAGAGCACAGAAATAGGCCTCTTGCATGGTACAAACTGATGTTTTTTGCACAATTATGTATTAAGTATTATGTAAACTACAAAATAATAAAATCTCTTCAAGTACTCTATATATTGTTTTTCTTTTCAAATTCGTTTATTAATTCTTTAAATCTTGAGAAAATTGCTCTATTCCCGAGACATTAAATAAATATTTTAGGACACATTTTTATACAACGTTCTCTAGTCCCAAACTAAGTAACGCTTGTACTATGGTTACTACATAACTAACATAATTAAAAAATACTTTTCTGTTGTAAATAAATACATATTATACATATATAATCACCGAGACTCTAGAAATACTACTACGAAAGTAGAACCTCGTTAAGTCGAACATCTATAAGTAGAAAACCTCTAAATCTCGAAACAAAGTTTTGTTCTCTTCCCTTCAAACACCAAAACCTCCATTACTTGAGTTATGTTTTATTTAGTAATGTTTTATTTTAAAACCTTTACAACTCGATTATTTAAGACTCATTCATTGCCTCTATAGTTCGAAGAAAAATAAATTACCGACTTTAAGAATTCGCTGACTGTGTAAGTACACCATTGTTTTTTAGACAGCAATTTAGGAATATACAATGAAAATAATTATCACGAATTTATGACTCACGTTAACAAGTGTTTGCTTGCTTGGTGGCAGGTGTTTAATTTAATTATTTTTTATTTAATTTGAACTTAAGCGAAGCAAGTCATTTGTTGTCGAGTAAAATATTGTAAAAAGTAGTTTAGTTCTACTGCGATACACATCAATTTGTACAAAAGTTTTGCTCGAAATTTTTGGCGTCTCCCTTGATATTCGACTTATAGAGGTTCTACTGTATTTCCAATAGTGGGGATCGAACTCACACCGCACAGGATGCAGGTACACTACCCTCTACGCCAAATTCGGGTCGTCAATGAGCATTTCGGAATATTTCATAATAAAAATATCATGAGTAGGCCTTTTTACACTTTCATTGTATTATACTACAGGTGAATTAATATAGTCTCAACATTTTATCATAGAGTTACGTTTATAACTTACGGTTTCAAAATAAATAATATGTTATCTTTGGCGCATAATCTATGAGTTTGGCACACGCGTAATTAAAATATTTATTGACCCTTAGTTGCTGGATGGACCAGGCCTCGCGTCTTCCGTGGACTTCCACCTGCTCTCTAAAGCGACTTTATTTTTGGACTCCCGGTTGCAAACGCTCTGATGGCTGAACCGACGGTGTTCCGCGAACGCGCCATCCGATATGTTGAAGACGCTGTCCGCGCTGGTTTTCCTCCTGTCGTGAAGCGTCGTCAGGCTGGTCGTGGTCGGGGCTATCCTGTGGGGGAACCTCGGCGAGCCCCTTATCCTCTCACAGGAGCTCTGATGGGACATTGGCCTCTCGTGGGCGCTTGGCAGCACGAAGTTGACCCTCGTCTCCGGCTCCGCAACGTACTTGTTGCCCGATGAGATGCTTTTATCGGAGGGGTGTTTCGAGCACGAGGGCTCGTCGTCGATGACCCTGATGATGGGGCCGCTTTTTGCGTACGACTCCCTTCGCAGTCTCATCTCGGGGTTCGGCACGTTGAGCGTGTTGCACGATAGGACCATCGAATGCTTCCGATTACCCGGCACTAAGCCCGCTATCATGCCGACGTGCATCCTCAACGCGGCTGCGATGCTCTGACCGGTCGGGTCGGCTATGGACATTGTGGACGCTTTCCTGCTCGACGGCCTGCTGCCGAAGAAGTTTCTCAGTCTACTCAGGAGGCCGGGGTTCTCCTCTCTCTTGTTCAAGCACATGCTGTACAGGTCTATCGTCGGTTGGGACTTCCTATAGTTTAGTTTTGGCTGCGAGCTGAAGCTCACCGAGTTTCTGCCTCGGTACGCGTCAGCGGAGGGCCAGCTCGCCCGAGGAATGACCGGGGGTAAGACAGACAACAGCAGCATTGGCAGGCCGCCGCTGATGCTAGGCGTTCTTTTGTCAAGTTCACCGTTACCTCTACTTTCCTCTTCCACTGTATTTAAATCCGTCTGAAAAGTGTGGAAAGGCTACAGATGCGATATTCACATTGTATTTTTTTTTCAAATAGATATTGCATTTAAAGTTACCGCAACATAAAATTTACAACGATAAGCTGAAGACCATCAAAGGCGGGCGCTGCTTCTTGTTAAGGAGAAGTTTAGGCCAGCAGAAACCATGACACAATACTCTGAAGAATGCAAAGCGTAAAGAGTTATTTCAGGCATTATACTTTTAAGCAATGCTTTACTGGTAAACAATAGATCGTGTCATACCCTTTTGTGTAGAGTTATGGAGGAATTTGGACTGGTGGTGGATTCTAAGGGCTCTGCTAGCAACTTTTCCAATCTGCCAATTTCTCTGTCAAGTGCTGCCACTTCCCTTTTGTATACTTTGTTTTGAATTTCGATTCTGAAGTGCAACTCTTGGGTTTCGTCGGTAACGAACCTTCTCGTTTTACATTCGAGCCTCAGACCCATACTTTGTATGACGGGATCATCTTCAGCTGTAATCACAAGATTCTATATTAGAGACGTGATGGTTTGTGATGTTAATCCAAATGATTGAAAGTCTTAAAAAATTAAATTTGTATAGTAAAACTTTCCTATTGCATGTCTGCATCATTGTCAATTTGATATTGATCAGGTTGAAAGTGATGCAGAATTATATATATAGATTTTTAAATTATGAACTTTATGAACAAAAACTTTCAGCACTGCGGGATTCGAACCTGCGTCTTCTGGTTTCGCGACCAGACGCTTTACCAACTAAGCTAAGCGGCCAATGATCATAACTATTTGGCAAGAGCAGATGCCAAACTAAGGAGAAATAATAATTTCCTAATCCATGTCACGAACAATACCAACTACAATAATCTAATATATAAAATTCTCGTGTCACGGGGTTCGAACTTGAACTCCTCCGAAACGGCTTTCCTGATTTTTACCAAATTTTATATGCATATTCAGTAGGTCTGAGAATCGGCTACTATCTATTTTTCCCTAAGGGATAAGGGTTGTTCACAATTAACATTTTTTTTTAATTTTTGGACAAATTTTTTTGTTTTTATTTTTTTATGATACAGCGTACAAAAATACATACAACCCTAAATTTTCACCCCTCTACGCAGACGTAGTCGCGGGCAGCAGCTAGTTATAATATATAATATGTATATCTACTATTGCGTATCGCCCAAAGGGCCGCTATGTTTAAGTGACAATGTTCACTCACTATTACTCCTGATAGCGATTATTTTCGGTAAGAATAGCAGGCACAGTGTCGACGTCGTCGCTATTAGTATCAAGCTGGTGATGGTGATGTACGCCAGGGTTGCCCTCTCCGATATGATCGTGCCGATGACCACGACGCTGGTGCTGGTTATGACAACAGAGTAAACGCTGATGCCGATGTACTTGGAGTCGTTCAAAGCGGATATCTTGACGTGCCTCGTCTCCCACGCCATGTACACGCCGACGAGGAGCAGCAGACCTTTGTAAGCGTAGAGCACGCAGAGCCAGCCGGTAGTGTTTTGTGATTTGCAGACTTCTATCTGGAAGAGGTGGTACGGTGTTTGGTTTGTTTCATTAAAGGAATATATGCACTCAGCTTGATAATTACAACGGCTAAACCCACGTTTGGTTTGTTTTTTTTTGTTCTTTTTTTATTTTATTTTAAACATTGCCATTACTTTAGGATAACATCATCCTGTGTTGTAAGGACGTTTTACATACATAAATTTCACGTGGACAAACACCCAGATGCGAAACAACTATCTGTGGGTCGCACAAATAGTTGTCCCGTGTGGGAATCGATCCCGCGACCCCCGACACCGAAGCCAATACCTTGGCGACAGCGCCACGGAGTCATCATATGTTTGATTAAACGAACAGATGTATTAAGCTGGACTCACTTCCAATCGGTGAGGTAAATACTGATTTTGGACCTATCCGAGGTTCTTTGTTAGGGTGCATGGGATTAGTTTGCGTTCGCGCCCGCACTGAGTTTGACCGTTTTAATTATTTAGTTAACAATTGTATGTCTAATTCATAGGCATTCAAGTTAAGATGTAGTCCAGTGCCACATTAGTTGGATAATGTAACAGTATAGCGTCTATGCCTTGATCGTAAATTCAAACAAAGCAACTCCAAGCACAAGTTAATATGAAGGTCAAAAGTTACTTATATGTAAATTAAACAAGTAAAACCGGACAAGTGCGAGTCGGACTCGCGTACGAAGGGTTCCGTAATATTATCTTTGAACGGCAAAAAAACGTGCCTGTTGTATGGGATATTTCATTCGTTTTTTTGAGTATTTTTTCTCATAGCGGCAACAGAAATATATTATCTGGGAAAATTTCAACGGTCTAACTATGACGTTTCTCGAGATACAGCCTGGTGACAGACAGACAGATAGACAGACAGCGGAGTCTTAGTAATAGGGTCCCGGTTTCGCATCGTTAATCGATTTCCTGTCTGTGTATTTGGAGAAAAGGACAAACTTACTCGAATGTTAATTAATTAGGACTAAAACATTAAGGCGAGGAAGAAAGTTGCATCAATCAGTATTGTATTTTTAATTAATGTAATTGGAACAAACCTGAGGCTGGTAAACCACGCTGCGGTCTGTCGCACTAATCTCGACGGTGAGGTTCTTCAGGTGCCTCTCCATTGGGTCCAGGGTCGCCCAAAGAGTCACTATCAGCCCGTCGATGACCAGGAGCGCACAAACTAGTGATATGAGGGGAGTGTCCTGCAATAATTTGGTCTTGCAGACGCCGCTTCTGTTACTGAAAATTAGCAATATCATTTATTATCAAACATGTTGTAGACAGTACCAGGTATTTTTTATTGTAGTGGAGTTTTATTACCACAGATAATTATGAACATATATCTCTGCGATAAATATAGAACATAGACTTTTTTAATTTTTAATTAGAAAGAGGCGATCGGCTAATTTTGTTAGGTTAGGTTTGTATAATGCAGAGGTTCATCGCTGTTAGTCTTTGGTACGACAGAGATAACACTTTACGAAGACGAAGTAAGATGGTTGTCTCCTTCCAAAGGTTCCATATGCAATATCTATCGCTGTGTTTTACACATCCAGACTCGGTAGTTATCATTAAGTATATGACTCGCTAAGAAGAAGCGCCCTTAATAAATTCATCAGCGAATTAATAAGCAATAACATAACCAAATTTTTGTAATAAAAATCGTCTCAAGTGTTTTATACATATATTAATATTCGTTTGGGGCTTAATGAAAGCTGGACTCACGTTTTATAGACTCACCTTATAAAAATTCGATGCACTCGATAGGTCTTCGCAAACATGGATCCAAAGGCAAGGGAAAAACCAGCTGACAATATGTAGACTCTGCCCTGCAATTACGTCATGTATAGCATGGATCAAAAAAAAACATGCAACGCGTAATAAAAAATATTGTAACTTATACACATTAAACAAATATTCCAGGACATATTTACATAACGATATCTAGTCCCAAACTAAGCATAGTTTGTACTGTGGAGACTATGTAACTGATAAATATATATTTTTTTGTTAACAAATACATGTTATAAATACATATTGTAAATAGTAATAAATTGGCACCTAATTTAATTTAGTTTTCAATTTGTTTGCAATTTAAGTTACTTCAATCACTTAACCACCCGGTGTTCTGTATAGTGAACCTATCTCTTGCTCCGTGTGGGTTCGATGTCGATCCCCACTGCTACAGTGGTAGGGCCACGCAGCAGCCTCGGCTCTTGCACGAATGGGCAGGCCCGTCAGGGTAAGTACCACGACCTCACAGAAGACCAGCGTAAAGTGAAAGTGTGACAAATACTTTCGCGTTTCGTTTGGTGAGTGAGGTGAGAGTGGCCTGAGCCCGATTTACAAAAGGTTGTCAACGCATCTGTAACCCTCGGATGTAGCAGATGTCCATGGGCGGCGGTATTCACTTACCATGAGGTGAACCGTCTGATCGTTTAGCAACTTTTCACATAAATATAATGCGATGAACATATTATGCGATGAACATACTATTTTTCTATCGTCTGGGTGTATATGATGTATAGTATGTATTTATTTGAAAGAGAAAAATATGTTTAAGTATGATTATAGGACGACCCACCCACTAGATGGAGTGACGACCTGTGCAAGTGTGCGGGAAGTCCATGCATGCAGGTGGCTCAGGATCCTGCTTCGTGGCAGTCTGTGGGGGAGGCCTATGTTCAGCAGTGGACTCAAACAGGTTCAAATGATGATGATGATGATTATAATTTACTTAGTAGTTATAGTACAAAGTTTGCTTAGTTTAGAACATTAGTTCCAAACTAAGCAAAGATATTTATAATAAGATTTGTAATAAAAATATGTCCAGAAATATAATACTTGTTACTTATTTACAGTCACATAAAATTGTTATAGGATGCAGTCATGACAAACAGTTAACGGAGAATATTGTCATTGTCAACTGACACATACTAGTAACTACACATACTAATAACGGAGTCAAGCGTCTTACAGTGCACATTGCCGAGAATGGGACGTAAGACGGCAGGGTGGCGTTATCCACCCCGAGGAGTGCAACTGCCGTGTACACAAGCACGCATCCGATCAAAGTCATGTTGTTCAGCCGAGGGGACGAAAGCTTGATCGACCTGAAAGAGGACCAGTTAAGATCACTTACAAAGCAGCGACAAACGTGAGAAGTTGACAAGCGAGTTGACTGTTGACCTTATGTTAAGAGACATCCGCCCATGGACATTTGCAACACCCGTACGGTTCAGATCCGTTGCGACCTTTTAATGAAGTCGGCCCCGGTCACCTCACTCACCAGACGAAACGCAGAAGTATAACACTTCCATTTTACGCCAGTCGTCTGCCAGGTCGTGGTACTTCCCCGGACGATTCTGCCCGTTTGTACTACGGTTGCGTGCCCTATCATAGTAAACTATATTATATGAACTCATTAGGGCCAAACACGTGTCGAATTTACCCCTTTCGACTCGGTACTAACTTTCGACATGTTCAAGAAAATACAAGAGAGAAACAAAGCGAAGTACTTTTAGTGTACGGCGTAGTTGCATAGCTGGCAATTGGCATTTGAATTTTTTAGATCTTTCCTGCCGTCATTCCGACGATTTGTAGCATTGGCTAGGGTCGCCTTAGTAGGGTATTCGATGAAGTGTTAGAATTACGTTGTAATTCGGGTGTCTGTGGGTCACACGAGTACTGTCATTGTCCTGTCCAACGTGGTAATCGAATCAACGACTCTCAGCGCCGACTGTGTCATTGCACATTGCATCACTCGTATTCCTTTCATGAATGTATTCACCTGCGCTTGCTGTAGTGCAAGTTGAAGGCGAGGAAGGCCAGCGCTAAGGCCACCCCGGCGGCGGCCAGCGCGGCCACCGCAAGCCTGGCGGGCGCCCACACGGAGTCCACCCTGAGCACCAGCACCCTCCGAGCGGCGGGAATTCCCCCCGCCCACCGCGGCCGCGAGCACTCGAGACAGGTCATCTCCCGCCCATGCGTGTACAGCGCCACAGTTTTTGGTCGGCCGCCTGCGACGTTTTTTTTTTAAATTGACCAAATTTTTATAAAAGTATCAAGTTGTGTCAGTTCACTCAAAAAATCGGCAAATTGACAAAAAAATTATAAGAGTATCAAGATGTGTCAGTCCACTCAAAAATCGCGCTTATCGCAGCACTTACATTCTGATCAACTGAAATGAACATAACAAATTGAAAAATAGAACATAAAAAAACAGTTTCAGTTACAAATGCAAAGTTACAAAATAAAAAAGGGAAAGAAACAAAATAAAATAGAAAATTTAGGAGATAAAAAAATTTAAAGTGTAAATGTATTAATAAATGTATTGTGCTGGCTAAGTATTTGACTAAACTAACGATCCGTGTGAAATTTTCGTTCACTACTTTTCGTATAATCATCGAATGGTAATTATATAAAATGAAAACCTTACATTTATACTATTCCTCTATTTTTGGTCAATAGCGGAAAAATTTAGCTTTAAAATTGTTTATTAGTGCTGTAAGACTTTGCTTTTTGCTACATTTCGTGATTCTAGGTCAACGGGAACTACCATATAGGTTTTCGAACCAAAACCTATATGGTACATCCGGTTGACCTAGAAGTGTCTATTTTGGTTGAAAGCAAGGACTTACAGCACAAGTAAAAGAAGACATTGACATTAATATACGTAGAAATCGTAAATGCACGCAGTATGAATGCATTTCTTTTAATTTTGTCTTTAAGACAATTGGATAAATTGGACAGTTCCCTCTTCGCTTGTCGTTAATTAATATTTGTGTATTTTTATCTCAGATTATAAATCATAAGAACTAAAAGTAATATATAAGAGTTCTGGCAGTAATTGTTATTTGAACAAGAACTCACAAGTTAAAACATTTAAAATTTTGGGTCATCAAACTCCTTTGCTTTTGTAGTCATATCCATATAGTGCATAGTCTATAGACTATAGGGATACGTATTGATGCCTTGTGAGAAATGATTAAACTGTGCTCATAGCGATTTCAAATATTTAATTTCATTAAAAATATATAATTGTATAAAAATTTCCACTTGCTTTTTATGAAGCTCCCATTATATTATGCCTAGAAATATTCCTTCGTAAGACTGCGTTGTGTTCTATTCGAGAACACCATTAGTTTATATAAAAGAGTTCTTTGTCCAACATTATGCGCTATCGATGTACAAAGGTCTTAAAACGAGTATCTAACGTTCACTACGTATTCAAACATAATAGAGGATGGGAAAATATTTAACTCGTCCCTCTCGCTTCGGTCAATCCAACCCGACAATATTTTATCCAACTTTTTCGCTTTACCCTAACCCCCGCATGCGAATGCGAACGTCGCATGTGGGCCGCATCAAATTGAATGCCAGAACATGCCTTGTATTTGATAGAAGGCCGACATCCCGATCCTGTCGGCTCCGCTGAAGGACACGGGACCCTGAAAAAACATTTCCCATTACGTATTCGGGCCGTTTTGTTCGCGGAATAATTTCAGCAATGGAGCCCCATTTTGTCTGGAAGGCTTTTACGTTCGGGGTTTACATATCCCGTCGAGTGCGGTTCTCGACTCCAGGCATAATTTCGGAACCGGGGGAATTATGAATTCGTGTCTCCGTCTAATTATGGCAACGGTTTAGACTGTTGCGCGAGCGAAAATATAATAAATGTGACATGCAATAGATTAAATGCGCTCGTATTAATATATCCTGTTTCCTCTATCATGTAATGTGAAATATAAGACGTCATCCTTCGACACAAATACTAACCTAAAAAGTTATTTATTATTTATGTACACAGAGAATATGAAAGAAATGTAATTACATGAAATGATTTGTACAAAGGCCCTGCTTATTTCTTAAGAAATTTCTTTTAGCAGACCTGTTACTGCAAATTGGTCAGAAAATGCTAGTTAATTGTGTACATACATTAATTATAATACACGTATATGCATTAAAGTTCTTACTTTTTAGGTTTGTATGGTGGTTGGGTAATAAGCCCCGAGGGTTACTGGGACCTAGAAAGATCTATTGTAGAAAAATTGCCCCCTTACTGTATGATAACATGATCCCGCGTTGTAAGGACGTTTTATATACAATAAATATGACGAGGACAAACACCCAGATCCGAAATTATCTGTGGGTCACATAAATACTGTTTCGTGTGGGAATCGAACCCGCGACCCCCGACGCCGAAGCCAATACCTTGGCACCTGCGCCACGGAGTCGTCAAGCAGTTGCAAGTTGAAGTTGAGTAGTCCTTACGTTACATCCAATATGGATTTACTTTTTATTTTTGTTTTATCTCGTATCTTGTATGAAAACTAGCCGAACAGTTGGGGAAATACTAACAGAGACACCAAGGAAACTGAGGTTTGCGAGCTGATTGAGGAACTCCTCCGCCATGTCCTTGCGGTCGTAGTCGAAGAAACCTAGGCCCAGGTTGGAAGCTTTCGTTATGTTGCTCTCCGCTTGCGAACGCCACAGCAGCTCCGCCTTGCTCAGGGTCAGAGCCATCGCCCAGACGGCGTCGTAAGTGTGCGGGGCGAATGGGGAGATCGGGAAGCCCGCGCCTTCCATTTCGCGGTGGAACATTTCGTTGGTCTGAAATCCCGGAGAAAAGTAAGCGCGGTCGTTAACATATTGTTTGCGACACCACTTCTTAATAATGTGTATAAACGTGAATGTCGACTAAGCGTTCTTCATCTCTTTGATCTTCGCTTTACTATATATTATATATATAGGAAGAGAAATTAAATAAAGAGGAATTCTGACATGTTTAGTTATGAATTTTGTCGAAAATGTAATGACTTTTGGATTTAATAATTTTATAATTTTTCTTAAACATTGCGCTATAGCATTGAATTTAAATAATTTTTGAAAAAAAAAAATACAAATAAAACTAATGCCTGCGGCTTAACTGGATTGGTGCTTTCTATGTCAGGAAGGAAGTGGGCAATGATCGCGAAAAGTAGAGAACGTAATCTCTATTATCAAGTTGATGAAGCTATCTGCTGATTGATATGTGTATTGTGTGAGCGTCTTACATATTTTTATATGAAAAGTTTAGCGATTACCGCCATACACGGACATCCATAAAACTCTAGAGGTTGAAGATCCGTTACCACAATCAGTAATAGTGGGATTACTACGATCACCAGTCCAAATTTCAAAATCCCAAAGTAAAATACTTCCACGTCACACCGATCTTCTGCGAGGCTGTGGTATTTCCTATTCGTGCATCAGAAGAAGCTGGTGCATGTCTATCAGTACATATCTACTGTCTTAGCCCCCACGATGTTACGTAGGCTATTTACAGCTTTCCGAAATTGTACCACGAACCAGTCCGGAGAACGACACGACGTCCCCCACGATGCCCCGGTGTGCCGTGACGGACACCAGGCCCTCCAAGGCACGCGCCAGCTGCGCCCGGGCGCAGGGCGCTGCGCCGCGGACGCGGGGCGGAGCACCCGCCACCAGCCACGCGTACTCGCCGCCGTACATGCCCAGTCTGAAGGCCTGCGATCTCGACACGACGGCATCTCGGTATAAGGCGGCCGAATTCAGTCACACGACAAAGCAAGAGTTCGATTCAGAATCAAGAAAGATACTTTTTTTTTATGTGAGAAAGTGTGAGAAAGTGGAAAACACGCTGGCAGAGCCTGATGTTAATGCGACATCTCTCGTTCGAATTATCGTAGTAAAACGGTTTTCGAAATTGTTTGTATATTGGAAAGGATATAACAAAGCCAAGCATTGCTTGGAATGCTAAAAATCAATGTAGATAAAAGACGTTAAGATTTTCGTCGGTGTGGCAATCAGCCGTTTAGCTCAGTGGCTAGAGCGTCAGGGCGCGAATGCCGAAGACGTGGTTTCGATTTCCACAGCGGCGACAATCTTTTCGTACTTTTTCTACAAATTTTAATGATCAATCTTAAGTGCAGGGATTAGCACTATAAAAAATTCAAATTACTTGTCCTATTGGCTGGATTTACAAACAACCGACGGCCTGCCGCACGCAAATATTTTTTGGTTACACCATTAAAACTTGTCCCGTGTGAGAATCAAACCCACGATTATGAAGCCAATGTCCTAGAAACTACGCCACCGAGTCCTTATAGTAATTTTGGCAAAAGATCGATGGTGATATGGTTGGAGTTACAATTAACATCGGCGTTGGCTCATGATTTCGAACTCCAGGCACAAGGGACATCATATATAAAAACGTACCAAATACAATATTATTATAAACAAAGACGAGTGTTATGATAAAATTATGTTTTTCAGTTGAAGCTTGTTTTTCAAGTACTTTGTCAGCGGCTTGTAAATTTGGACCACTCCAAAACATTTGCGACAAGTAGTTGGAGTTCAAGTATGATTCAATAGCATTGCTTATTATTATTCCATGATACCGTTCTTTGGTTCGTTTATAAATGAAAATTGTAATTAAAAAGTAATGTAAAAGTGCATTTACTTTGCAACATGTGATCGATATTGAAAACCAAAACCACTGCTTTCCGACGAGATCAGGAATCCAACTCACCTCGCAGAATATCTTAGGGACCATCTCTTGAGAAAAACTGCCGATTATTATCCGGATGTCTAGTTTCTAAAAGAGGAAAATAATTTATTTAAAATTTGACCTTAACAGAATATTTACTTATGTTATTTAAATCAGATTGGGATAACCCGTGTTTAGAAAACACTACAAAATTTAACAACAGTTGCTGTAACATGTCAGAATAACATACGAATATAAATATTAGTGCACGTCTTCGGGAAGTGCACAACAAAACGAAGGCAATATCTCAGCAATTATGTCTACTTAGCTCTACTTGCGGTATTAAAAATTTTAAATACACAACATTCGAGGGTTTCTATCTATTGTGGAGGCCATAATGTTAACCAAAATACTAGCTGCGTAGATAGTATAAGGACCTAGTCCACCCGTTATCATATTTTGGGAATATCTTCTTTTCTGAGATGTTTAGGTTTTAATCTTCTGCGAGTACTTGGTGAATTAGCACTTAAGTTATCACTATCGATCAGAGTTCTCGAGTAAAGTGAATGAAATGGCGATGCACCAGATACTGACGTAAAAGATTACATTCTGTTGGGCTGTGTGTTGATATGTTATTACTCGACAGGGCAATGTAAAGTTAAGGAGGGTTTGTAATGTTTGTGCATTTGGGGCGCTCTAGAGACGAGACCAAACGCGTTGGCCGATTTTGATGATTCTTCCGTTAAGCAAATTGTGTTAATTTTGCAAGTGAATTTTGATACAGGTATCTCTTTTATTATCTCTGTTATTCTTATTATGTATGGCGACAACTAGACGCCATATTGTGAAGAAGTTATAACAGAGAATAGAAAAATGTTCCCTTCGAATCGCGTATTCTTTTATTAATTTCATTTAGCAGATATCATTAAATACTCTGATCGTCGTTGTAAACACAATCGACATACCTTCAACTGCTGCAGTTGTTCTTTGAAGTCGGATTCAGCGAAAGTGATGGATGCCGCACAGGTGATGTTCGCTGCCTCCAGCTGAGTGACTAGCTCGTTCACGGCCAGCGAGTACACCTCCTCGTTTTGCGAAAACGCCGTCACCGTATCCCAGCCATGTTGCCTTCGAATAAATTAATAAATATTTCAGGGCACATTGTAAATTAATACATTATATAGATATATAAATACCCAGACACTGGAAAAACACTATGTTCATCTTTTTCCTGTAGTGGGGATCGAACTCACAAACTCATGCGCAAGTGACAGGTCCACTATCCACTACGGAAGTCGGATCAAAGAGATTCTTTAGACACAGCAGTGTGGCAGTGAGTGAGTGAGTGCAGGACAAATGGTGTACAAATAGAAAGGGGATGTCCACGAGTCTATTACACCATTGTGCATTAGACACAGGCAGTGATTGGCACATAGGGTTGCATATTTTTCGTTTTTTTTTTTTTGTTTTTTTTTTATGTGAATCGTTGCCATACGAGCAGACGGTTCACCTGATGTTAAGTGAATACCGCCGCCCATAGAGATCTGCTACACCCGAGAGTTTGCAGATGCGTTGACAACCTTTTTGGAAATTGGGCTCCGGCTACCTCACTCACCAGACGAAACGCGAAAGTATTTGTCATACTTCCACTTTACCCCGGTCTTTTGTGAGGTCGTGGTACTTATCCGGACGAGCCTGCCCATTCGTGCAACAGCTGAGGCTGCTGCGTGGCTCTACCACCGTCAAAATAATTATTGTATTTTATAAAAAATATAAGGTACAATAATATTACCTTATGAATCTGTACTATTTTGTGGATATCAAAGAAAGTATAAAGATGATCCATCCAACTGAAATATAGTAGTTTTACGCACGATATACCTCTTCAACCGAGTATACTAAGCAGACTCAAAATACAGTACAATATAAATTTTATATGTATTAATTTTTTTTTAATAAATTAACTAAATTACAGGACAGTTGTCAGCCCTACTTTCACGTGAGAAATTCGATGTTCATTGACACGATGGCGAACATTTCTGTAAGGCTGATGTAGACTAATATATTTATTGTTTTAAATTGTTTTCGAGCGACTCAGGATAACACGATAAAAGTCGACACGGCCGCTAACAAAGTTGGCGATGTTTGTGCAACTTTGTTCTCGAGTTAGGCATTTGGCAGGGGATTGTCACCGTGTGTGGACCGACTTGTTTCTAAGGGTATTATAAATCGTGTAGTTCTTTCACGCTGTGATGGCTGGTTTGTTCTTGTTCAATAACATTTTGTGTTTTGTTTTGTTTATCTAGTTGTTAATACCTTTTATTTATTAAAATATATATTGTATATTTATTACGATACACATGTTATAAAAAATATTTTAACATTACTGCGAAAAAGTGGTAATTTTGCGGGAATTCGCAGTTGATTGTTATCGTTCTTGAAAGTATTTCAATTATTTATTTATAAATATATTCAAAGTATTCCATTGTGTCCCGGTCTATATGTGATGCAAAACGATAAATATGAAATAAATATTCAACCACGCTAACAGACAATCCAAATACTATATTATGTAGGTTTATCTCGAAATTAAAAGGAATCAAAAGAGGTCTACCGGTCGTCGAAAGTTTGAAAAGTAATTTATCACTTTTATTAATTACGCATTACGCCTCTGCGACTTCGTTTTCTTTCGTAAAAGGAAGGGGTAGGGGGTTTGGTAAGGCAAATAAGGGAGGTGGGTTGACATTTTCGCTTTGTAGTGCTAGGAACGTCGTGATCGTTCATGTTTAAAATCTGCAAAATTACTTTGCGATAATGCTACTTTCGTCAAGTATTCTCAAGTAAATATTATATTCATTAAGAAGAAGAAGAAGAAGAAGAAACGTTTATTCACGGTCTAAGGACAATAGATACAAAGAACACTTAAAAATAATAATGTAACTACATTTTATGTAAAATAATATTAGAATAACTTAAAATAAATGTAAACAACAAAAAAACTAAAAAATAATAATAACAATAAGTGAAGGTCTGTGTAGCAGCATAAGACCGTGAAACGGACGGGACTCGGTAAAAGTCGAGATACAGTAACTAAGATTCGTTCTGATCCCGACGCCGGTTTTCAGTCCGCCCGCACTTACAACTCGGACGGCGGCATTAGTGATGTTAACAGATGATCTGAGAATTTATCACCAGATTTATATGTATTTCCGACTAATTTATGTGGCTGTAATTAGAGGCAGATTTTTAAAAGTTTATTCAGGCTTGTGTTAACGCCTTATGCGACCATATCTGTGACGTTTACGTCCGGTTTCTGAAACACTGAACATCGTAGATGTCAACTAATCAGCCAGCTGTCAAATGGCTTTTCAAATATAATTTTAGTTGCCGAAAGGATGGTTAAACACTCTGAATTTGCCAGAATGATCTTCTAAATGATCAGAATGTAACCATTATAATATGTAATAAAGTTATAATGATGAACTAAACCAAATGAATAATTACAATTTGGCGTCAATAAATTTAAATACAAATATGCACATATATTACTATATTAGTGCCACTGACACTGAATAAGCAATAGATTATGGGAAATGGTTAGTAAAGCTGCTATAGAATTTGTTTTCATGTTTTTTACGTGAAAAGTTGGCAAGTGAGCAGGAAATCAAGCGGACAGATGTGTTGGCAACCTTCAATAAAAATGGGCTCCGGATACGCGGACATGCAGACGTTACTCAAAGTGTAATGTATTTCCACTTCACGCCGGTCTTATGTGTTGAATTCGTTTCACAGCAGAAGCTGCCGCGTGCCATGAAAGATATTTAGAGAGGGACAAGAACAGAGACAGCATTATCTATATTACCTTATGAAGGCGATCCTAGCGGGGTTGTGGGAAGAGTCGGGTGCCACTGTTCTGCAGAACAGAGGGAACTCCGTCCGATCGCTCAGCGCCGGCGACGTCGAACCAAACGATACCTGGAACAAAAAGTTTTTATTGGAGATCTACTACGAACTGTTAAACATCGCCTCACAATCGACGAGAGGCGATGTTTAACAGTTCGTAGTACTAGGTACGCGGCAACTGCCGGTGTTATATAAATGGGCGCGTCCGATGAAGTCCGGAGAAGCACTCGTGAAAGCCGCCATAAATGGAAATGGGCAGTGAATATAAAACCCTGGCCCAGCCTCACGGTTTCTTGTGCGTCTATGAGCGGTTATCGCAGGTTATATATGTCGCATAATCTGACATCCGGTTTTTGTTTATTAAGTCTATTTGAGGGATAACACGCCCCTATAACTGAACTAATAGGCTGGCACGGTGACTGCCTATAGAAGTGAAAACATAAAACTATGAAATAACGGAACCCTTAAATATTTTCCATCTAAACATTACCCAACCTGACTAAAAAAGTTTTAACTTTTAAAACATGAAATTTGAATAAACGAACAGATATTTTTAATAGATAAATAAAATAAAATATATAGAAGAGGAGGATTCACAAAAGGATGAATTAATAATGACGATAAAAGTAATCTCATGTTAGCTAAATAAAGAAGCATTAGTTATGAGTATTGTACATCTATATAATATATTGTATGTACATATATAATTATATAATGTAGCTATTGTATATTTGAGTCTATAAAACTCAAAAACTAGCCGATGTATTGATTTGTCAATACATCGGCTAGTTTTTGAGATTTATGCTAGTAGTAGCTATGTTGTGAACAAATATCAAAAGATATGTTCACAACATAGCTATTGAAATGTTTTTGTATACTTTTTTTTACGAAGTATCAATGGAAACGAAAAAAGTCACAGCGAAGCGTGGCCAGATTCAGCTTGTTATTATAATATTAAAATTAGGTACGATAATCAGATTGAGTCTGGACGCTATAACTTTTCAACCCCAAGAGTTGAAAACAGAGAAATAAGCCGAATACGATTCGTAGAATAAATAGATCAGTTTCATAAGCTTCAATGTTGTTGACATTTATTATAATTTCACGTTCTATTTAATATTTACCGTAATAAGCAATAGTGTAAGATGCGTTCCATAAATTAACGCTGTAACTGGTCCATTACATGCTCCAATAGGAACATGTAATAGCCAGCTAATAAAAAGTTATTACTGTAAATATATAAAATCCATACTTCCATACTAATATTATAAATGCGACAGTAACTCTATCTCGCTCTCACGCCAAACTTACAGAACCGATTTAAATTAAATTTGGAACACAGAGAGTCTAGAGCCTGAGAAAGGACATAGGCTAGCTTTAATTGGAAAAAAGTGTTGTAAAGGGTTGAAAGGTTAAGGAAAGATATTTATTTAAGGGCTTGAACGTGAGCGAAGCCGCGGGCGAAAAGCTAGTAAATATATAAAACGCAAGAAAATTAATTTAGTGTAGGAAAAGAAAGAGCTCCTTTGATAAGGACGAAAAGCTATACTGTGTGTGTGTGTGTGTGTGTGTGTGTGTGTGTGTGTGTGTGTGTGTGTGTGTGTGTGTGTGCGTGCGTGCGTGCGTGCGTGCGTGCGTGCGTGCGTGCGTGCGTGCGTGCGTGCGTGCGTGCGTGCGTGCGTGCGTGCGTGCGTGCGTGCGTGCGTGCGTGCGTGCGTGCGTGCGTGCGTGCGTGCGTGCGTGCGTGCGTGCGTGCGTGCGTGCGTGCGTGCGTGCGTGCGTGCGTGCGTGCGTGCGTGCGTGCGTGCGTGCGTGCGTGCGTGCGTGCGTGCGTGCGTGCGTGCGTGCGTGCGTGCGTGCGTGCGTGCGTGCGTGCGTGCGTGCGTGCGTGCGTGCGTGCGTGCGTGCGTGCGTGCGTGCGTGCGTGCGTGCGTGCGTGCGTGCGTGCGTGCGTGCGTGCGTGCGTGCGTGCGTGCGTGCGTGCGTGCGTGTGTGTGTGTGTGTGTGTGTGTGTGTGTGTGTGTGTGTGTGTGTGTGTGTGTGTAATAGGCGACTTTTTCATTTATCAACAAGTGCGAGTCAGACGAAGGGTTCCGTACAAGCATCTATGGCAAGAAAAAACTTTCCTGTTGAATGAGATCCACTTAAATATTTTTTTATTCTGTTTTTTTAGTATATATTATAGCGGCAACAGTCATCAGAAATATATCGTCTTTGAAAATTTCAACTGTCTTACTATCACGGTTCATGAGATTCTGTCTCTGGTGACAGACAGACAGAGAGACGGAGGAGCCTTACTAATAGGGTCCCGTTTTATCCTTTGGGTACGGAACCCTAAAAAAGAGTCTTCGCTCGCTACAGCGTAACACTGCGAACCTCTACACAGTTGATTGCAGCAACAACAATGGAAGCGTATCGTTTGATGATTCAGTTTGGTAGTTTCAACCGCCCACTGAAAAATAGCTAACAGTTGCGATCGATACAGACAGAGCAGAATGCTGGCACTTAGTCGTTTTGCTGATGGGAAAAGCTGCGCAACAATGGTTCGTATGTGCTGCCGCATAAACTGGGACTTGTTCCAGCGGTTAATTTGCTGCGGCTTTGTTAAAGCATTTCGTATACATGTACGATGACCACAATACCAATGATGGTATTACAAACCACATCCGTAATATTTTTTTTTACCAAATCATTAGAATTGGTGAAAATGACAAGTTTAATTCTTTTCTAAAAAAAAAATTGAGTAGATAGAGAGAGAAATTACGTGTTTGAGTAGTCTCTCACGTTAGAATAATAAAACTTACAGATCAAAGAATCAGAGACACGAGATATTTCGAGTTGCCAGAAAGTTCGCCACCGTTTTCGTTGTTCGTTAAAAAGTTGAGACAGAAGTTAACAGTTGTTAACGACACAGACATTGTGACAGTCTTCGTGTCATCTACAATAAAGTCGAAGTGTTGTTACGTTAAGTGCGTCATCGTGATTAAGAAAGTTTTATGAAACGTACTCGTATATTAACTTTGCAACTCGTGCCGACATCATTATGTACGTATGAAAAGAAAATCATTTTAAATACAGTGGCATCCTATATTTTCTGGAGAGTATACGGTATTAAACATACTGTTAAAAGGTGAAACTTGTAATGGGGCAACGAATAAAAGAATGTCTCTGAATCTATGAGTTGATCAGTTTTAGTTGTATAGGCTGTTACAATTTATTTTCTTTTTCATTTAATTCGTTAGTTTGAAAATTATTTTTTATTAATTATGGATTTTTAAGCAGACGTTGACTGCAGCAGCATTAAGCTGTTTGCCGTTTACGCCACACACAAGTAATAATAATTAACCGTGTTGTGTGTTTCACAATTACTTATTTTTTTATGTTTGCAGATCAAATGTACGTGTTTAGGATGTTCCAACTTTTCAATCCTTATACAAATACGCCACATTTGTGCAAAAAATTGTTTTGGAGTATTTGTGCAATAAATGTTTTCTCACTTTCGTCCTTATATGTTTCTTTTGAACAAAACCCCTAATCTGAAGCAAAATATTAAACAAATACTTGTCTCGTGAGGCAAACGAGTCAAGCAACCGCAACCCGCAGCACGGAAGCCAATTTAGCAACTTCTACAAAGCCCGTGACTTTAACGTGTTGTGAAATATATTATGAGTAACTATTTTATCAACAAAAAACAATCGACTTCTTATCTACGTACGTCTCATTTACTATAAATTTTCTATTTGATTTTGAGAAGAGCCCCGATATGTTTCCGGAGCCCAATGTCTCATACCCGTTTTTATTTTCGTGGGAAAATCCTTTATGGATCCCCTGTCACCTGATCGGGGGAGTGGCAGGGGTATGTGGGAGTCCCGGAGACTGGTACCACTAAAAACCCACGTTGCACCTGTCTCTGTCTCATTGACACGGGAACACGTACGTAACGAGCTCTCATACCAACGAAATTGATATTGGAGCACAAGGGAGCTAAACCGAACCAAAGGCATAAAGAATTTTTGAAATCGGTTCATACATGATGGAGTTCTGAACAAACATAAAGCACAAGCAAACGATTTGTTAACGTCCTCCTATTTCAATTCGGTAGCAAACATTAAAGGAACTATTGGAGGCTCTCTATTGGAATTGCGAAACTGCAACGGTTTCCTAACAATTTTCTTTTAACGAGACCATTCGTTATACTTCACAAAGTTTTTCTCAATATTTTTTTGCCGACTTCCTCACGTCTATAGTTTAAAATTAACATAACATAATTAAAATAAATTGATTGATACACTGCTTCTAAACAACATCAATAAGATTTTTTTTTATATTTTAGATATACCGCTTTTAGAAATGAGAAAGCAGTTAAGTTAATAAAGCAAGGTGAGTTTTACCAGAACTGTTTGTTCAAGGAACAAATAATGCTTACATGAATTAGGTTAGTGATGACTTCTTCAGTATAGTTTTAGAAGTCAAATTCAAAATATCTTTATTCAAATAGAGAGCGTCCTTGTGAAACGTCGAATTTTATAAAAATTGATACATAAGTTTGTAAGTAAGTTACCAACAAGTAAGAATGTGAAGGGGATAGATACTTCTGTTAATCAACAATGCAGTGGTCCCAACGTCAATGGACAGAATAAAACGAAAAGGCAACGCCGTAGCAGTTCGTTTATGAAAATATATGACGAAAATAAATATATGAAATTAGGAATAACTGTACGATAAATAAGACGATGAAAGGAAACATGAAAGAATAATGGTTTGTCCAAACAACACGTGGAAATGATGGCTGTAATTTATGACTACGATGTCGGTGTAGTGTGCTAGAATAATTGAACAGGGGGCAGCGTAAAGAAAAAAATGTATTACACATACGTCAACGGAATGTACCATTGATCTCCATTGTTTTTGGCTGATAGGCTGTGTAGATAGGATGTTTCGATGTGCGCTTTTTTAAAGTTTTTTCTTGTATTAAGTATCGTATCTTTATTTTTTAATTCACGATAGACAAACAGCGTTAAATAAGTTGAGACAACAACGTACACTTTAAATTTAATCTTATTTATTAGCTCACAAGCGGGCAATCTACTATATCGCTTTATATAATCGATAAAGTACAGTACTCTTTCATTCTCGATAAACTACTCCACTAAAAAAGCTAGAAAGAATACATGTGTTGAACGACTGAATCTACACGCCTGGCCAGCAACAGCTGTTCTATCTAGTTGAGCGATTTTTAAAGGCTGTTTATCGGAGGCTTTATAAACTTCGCCGTACTTTGGAGGCTAGCAGAGTACATTTCTTTCTCGATTAACTTTCATATTAAACGTACGTTGCATTACAAGTTGTGCATCTGAAGCTTATCGAAGTTTTTTTTTTAGTTAGTGGCTTACCTGAACGATATTCCAGTAAGGTACGACCTTCGCTATGCTCTCGGTGACTTCGGAGCACGCCGTTCCCAGCAGCATCACCATGCGGGATTGTCGCTCGGTGTACAGGGCGTGGAAGAAACGGTCCACACCGACACCAGGATCGCACTGCGTTAAAATAATTTTACTTCTATCTGTTCATTTTTCACATTTGGGAAGCTCGCTGGATGTTTATAATTCTTTTGTTGCAATAACCGTTATTATTTTTCCCGTTTTAATGTAACTATCAAATTGTTTTGTACAATTACTAAAGGTAAGCTTTTAAGGTACATAAAATGACTTAAAGATTAATGTTGTTAGTGCGTTGTTACAGTGCCGGATTCAGCAAGCGCGGGGCCCGTAGCAAATTCTTTCAAACTGCCCTAGATCCGCTATGGGTTCTTAAGTATAAATTGCCGAAAAATACAATTCAATACTATAAATTATTTGATAAGTTTCACTCAGAAACTAAAAGCTCAGGCAGGGATGAATGGATTTAAATATGCGGGGACCCCATAGGTGTCGGGCCCGTAGCAATTTCTACTCTTGCTACGAATTTACTTACTACTAATATTATCCTAGACCAAGGGCAGTGTTTTCGTAAAAAGAAAAAAAACTGTTAATTTGCTTTATTATATTACAAATAATTTGAGCCGTTGTGGCGATGGATAAATGCTTCTTCTGAATATTTTCCACGGTGGTGTTGATACAGAGACATCAACTATGTACCTTAGTGTCGTTCGTAATGAGCTGGAGCTTGTAGCCGGGAAGAATCTCGCGCCGGTTTACATGGCTGACAGCGAGTTTTGCAGCGGCCAGCTCTGACGCCCCTTCAGCCCTCGGCGCCTGTCCAACTGTCAGCTCGAATAGACCAAGGATCGAGACTATTTTGTTATCCGTTGTCGGTAAATCTGCAAACAAGCAAAATTAGGATACGATAGGTACCACGGACAAATTGCCACTCAATTTATTGCGTTTGAAATTTGATTTTGAATGAAGGTGTGGTAGGGCCACGCAGCAGCCTCGGCTTTTGCTCGAATGGGCAGGCTCGTCCGGGTAATTACCACGACCTCGCAGAAGACCGGCATAAAGTTTCGCGTTTCGTCTGGTGAGTGAGGTAGCAGGTTGTCAACGCATCTGTAACCCTTGGGTGTAGCAGATGTCCATGGGCGGCGGTATTCACTTAACATCAAGTGAACCGCCTGCTCGCTTGGCAACTATTCACTTAAAAAAATTAAGTGAAAATTAACTTTTATTTGTTATGCGTAGGATTCGGTTAGTTAAAAAAAATCCGCCAAAGTGCGAGTCGGACAGGCACACGAAGGGTTCCGTACCATCTAGCGCACGAAGGGTTCCGTACCATCTATGAAAGCGGCAAAACATCATGTCTCTTTTATAGAAGCCCCACGGACAGTCAGCGAAGTCTTAGTAATAGGGTTTTACCCTTTTACGCTTTGGGTACGAAACCTTAAAAATCAGTAAACAAAATCGAAGATTGCTTTTCCTTATTCTTTCGAAATTCAGCAGTCTTATCGCCTTTTTATAACCTTTTAACCTTTTGCCTCTCTTATCTATAGTATTAGGGTCTTTGTCAGATTGTCGTAAAACTATACGGTAAAGGGTTAACACAGTCGGGACAAAGGTCGGTTTTTTTTATTCACTCGTAAAGTGTTCGTTTTACGCACCATTCAACTATTCCAGGGTATAGGCCAGATATAGTGTAATATATTTTCAAGTTTTTGTGTAATGCTAAGAAAATTGATGAGTTGAACGCAATGATGTTTAATTATATAGTTGATGCACGTCAATACAGTTCGACATCTAAAAATTGTTCGGCATTAACTGACATATATAAGTGAATGTAACAGATGATTTAGAACGTTTGATATGGAGAGATAGCAGTCTATACAATAGCAATCTAATTACGCCAATTGGTTGAATGTGAATGCCTCGTTTTCGTTGCGCTAGTGTCATACCTTCGTATACAATATTGATTTGAACGTGCAAGGCAATAAAATATGACTTTGTGGTCATATAAGAAAGGTTTAGAAAAATTTAAAAGAGGTTTAAACAAATTTTGAAAATAGTTTTATTGAAAGAATTATTACGTAGGTGATTAGGATATACAAAGTACATTCAAAACTAAAAACAAAACAAAAATACTCAAATTATTTTTGACATTGACGACCCGAATGGCGTAGTGAGTAGTGTACCTGCCTCCTGCGCCAGAGGGTGTGGGTTCGATCCCAACTACTGGAAAAATATTGTGTTTTTCTAGTGTCTGGATGTTTATATATGTGTAATATGTATTTATTCACAAAAGGAAGTACGTTTAAGTGTATTTATCAGTTTTCTAGAACCCATAGTACAAGCGTTGCTTAGTTTGGGTCTAGAAAATGTTGTGTAAAAATGTGTCCTAAAATTATTTAAATTATGCTTGCACATCAACATAATTATTACCTAATTATTAAATTTTTGTAAATATTGCTCTCTGTAGGATAACGTTGTGCTGTGTTGTAAGGATTTTCTACCAACATTAATGTCACGAGAGCAAACACACATAACAACCTGAAACAATTATCTGTGGTTCACACTGATTGTTATACCGTTTGGGTATCGAACCCACGACCATCAGCGTCGAACTCAATACCAGTTGCCAAACTGCGCCACGGAGTCATCTATCTGTCTATGAGAATCTGTCGTTTTTTTACAAAAATTTTTTTGACGTTATTAGGTAGCTTGACTTGTAACAGGCCAAAATGAATACTAGCATACAAACAAACAATTCTTTTTATCTTCTTGATTTCAACCATCTGCGGTTGTCAGAAATTAAAACTTTATGATTAAAATACGTCACAATAGGTGCAGAGTGGTTAAAGCTAACAATTTAGCGTATAGTGAATGCAGAGGGTACACTCGACCTCAGGCTTAGGCTCTTCTTGGACAATGCATGCATATATAATACGTGTTGTTTCATTATTCCCCGTGTACTTTGAAACTTATGCTTACGTAGTATTAATTTTTGATTTTGTTCCGTAGAGATAAGCATTTGAGCAAATAAAGCAGCAAAAAATTGAGACTCAAAGCGACTTATAAACAATGCAGCAAAAGCACCCGAATATAATATTGAAAAAGTTCAATGCACACAGTTTCAATCAAATTTTCGCTTCAAGTCGCATCATTAGAATTTCATATTCAGTAATAATGCATGTGTAGGTTAGTTCCATGTTCGCGCCGCTACGCTTTTACGAGTTTATATGAAAGTTAAATAAATTTGAGTCCACTTGTGTAGAGCCACGCATCTTTATCTAATATATAAAATTTTCATGTCACGGTGTTTGTAATTGAACTCCTCCGAAATGGCTCGACTGATTTTCTTGAAATTTTGTGTGCATATCGCCCAGGGTGGAGAATCGGACAGCATCTATTTTTCATCCCCCTTATTGTTAAGGGTGGTCCAACCCAAATATTTTTTTCAACCCTACAAATAATTTATATGGCAAAACAACGTTTGCTTGCCAGGTCAGCTAGTATATATATATATATATATATATATATATATATATATATATATATATATATATATATTCTGTACGTATGTATGTCACTGAACTCCTCCAAAACGGATGGACAGATATTAATGAAATTTGGTGTGTGAATTTGAGAATGGTTTAGATTCACAATTCGGACCACATTTTTTTTATTTATAAGTTTTTTCGGATTGCCGTATAAATTAGCTGGATTGTTCAGCGGCTTCTATATAACGGCCTCTAAAAAGTAAGTTGCCATTAACAGACCTCAAGTTTTCTGGCTGCCTGTTAACGATGATGACCACTTATTTAGATTAACCATATATTTATGTGGTGAACTGGCAAACGCAGCTGGTGCTTCACCTGATGTTAATAACCGCCGTCCATGGACGTTTGCAACACCCGTATACCCTTGTCACCTTCTCTCATAAAGTCGACTGTATCACCCCCAGGACGATTTTGCTGTAAAAACAGTGAAGTCTCACGACTTACGATGAAGGTTCAAGACGATCTGTATTAAGTTATTTTTGATGTGTGAAACAAATGTGCCGAGCAAATGCCTATTTACAAAACGTTTTTTTTTATATAACATTTTTATATAACATATAACTTTAGGATAACATTATCTTGTATTGCAAGGACGTTTTACATACATAAATTTCACGCGGACAAAGATCCAGATGCGAAACAACTATCTGTGGGTCACATAAATAGTTTTTCGGTGTGGGAATCGAACCCACGACCCCCGTCGCCGAAGCCAATACCTTGACGAATGCGCCACGCAGTCACCGAAAATGGGTATTGCAAATGTCCATAGGCTGGGGTTATCACTTAACATCACGTAAGCTCGCGTACCGTTTTCTTACATAAAATAATGCAACAACGGAATAGCATCCCATCATCCTCGATTAGACCAATTCCAATCGGGTATGACTAATTAAAATACTAATTTAAACTAATACTTTATACAGGTGATTTTATAGACGACGGACATATTAACAAAGCAGAATGTGATTTTAAATCTGAATCTGGTAACCTATTCACGAGCACTAAAACTTTTCGCTGAACGCATAATTACTAAACCGCTTATCAATAGCTTAATGGGATTAACAAACAATGTTTGAATTGATATTTCTCTGGTTATTTCTTGTCAAAATAAAATATTAATATTTTTTTTTGAATTATGGAATGAACAACTACGAAGGACATACTTTGACATAATGTCAAAGTATGTTCTTCGTCTAAAAAATCACCCTGTATAATTGTCTGTAGTAATAAAATGAGTTACTGGCAGGATAATACTCTATGGTGGTCGGACGTCCAACGCGTAATCCCGCGGTAATGACCATGTGTCGGCCGTATTAATGACACGGGGTTAATGGTTCGGAGACGTCCGGAAAATTTAATATTCCGCCTGGGAACATCTGTCGCGAATGGTTTATTTTTGTTAATATCTTTCAATACTGACGTAAGAATTGTCTACCAAAAGTACTGTTCAAATTCAGGTAGAAATTGAGAGAATATATAATGATCTAAACTTTAGGTACATTAAAACACCGTCTAGACATTATCAATAGATTTTTTGTATAGTGTCTGAGAGGCCGATTGCTATATTCAAGCGTATGTATCAGTTGTTCGAATTATCAAAGACTCGAACAAACATTGGTTAAAAGCAAACCGGTATATCGGCTAACTGACATAAATAACGAAATTGTGACCATATTGATATATTTTTATCTTAATTTAGTTGATATTTTCAGAATCTCTGTTATTAATAAAATGTATGAGACCACCATACTATGAAATTAAAGTGAGAAAGAGATTTGAGATTTTTTGAGAAGAAATACAGAATGTGGTAAATAGTATCTTTGATTTTTTTAAAGAAATGACTATTTTTGAAAACAAAAAGACACAAATCTTTTATATATACGAGTAAGCATGGTAAAGTTAATATTTTAAGTTTTGTGAAATAGGGTCTACAGCTAGAATTGCTTATCTATGTGTGCAAGGATTCATATGCACTTTTTTGGATGATAAATAGGTCCTGAGCGTCAACACTGTTGCCCCGTAATATTACGCCATACATAAGCCATGAGTGGCCGTAGGCATAGTAAGTTGATAACGCGGTGGAAGTATCTGTAGAGCATTTAATTTGGAAGAGAGCATAGGTGAATTTGCGTAATTTACTTTTTAAATAATCAATATGTATATTCAAATTTATATTTGAATCGATGTTTAAACCAATTCACAAGTAGTCTTTGATTACAATTAGTTAATTGTTATTTTTATCTTCAATTAAGTTAATTATTTTATTGTGATACTATTTACTTATTTGTAATAAACAAAAAAGAATAATACTTAAGACAATATAGAAACAATCT